GGGGGGCATGGCATGACCTTGAAGGAGATTCTGGGATGCTGACCCTTTCCTTCCTCTCTCAAAAAAAAAAAAAAAAAATTAAAATTAAATGCTGCCAGGAGGGTCCTGGTTGGAGGAAGGAATAAATAGGGAAGGCACAGATCAGGTACTGGAGGCCATCAGCAGATGTGGTCAAGCTCACCATGTCCCCACTTGTCAATGGAAGAAGCTCAGGAAATGCTTGTTCTGAACCTACGCTGTATCACTTGGACATGTGCTTTCTTATAACATTCTTCCTTTGGCCCCTATTTCCATCTTGTCCATGGAACAGGTTCCTGCTCAAGGTTTATCATCTGAGTGAAGCCTTCACCCAGCTATAGACAGTAATTCCCTCAGCACACTGTTGCTGTTAATTGTGAATATCATTGTAATATGACTTTTATTACCCACATTTGGCACACTTACACACAATACTGATGAGTGTATGTGTGTGCTATTTGTAGATTGGAAATTTAACTTACTAGGGCAATTTTTATCTTCCCAAGAACTAAAGATCTTTTTTTTAATATTTATTTTTTAGCAATATCTTTATTTTATTTATGTGGTGCTGAGGATCGAACCCAGGACTTCACACGTGCTAGGCGAGCACTCTACTGCTGAGCCACAACTCCAGCCCCTTAAAGATCCTTTCTAAACATGTGAATGAATGTTGAAAAATTTTGAACGTTTTAAATATATAATAGATTTTTATATACTTTCCTATGCATGTAAATGTATAATATAAAGCATTTAAATTTCACTACGCTGAGTTGGGGATATAGCTGAGTTGGTAGAGTGCTTGCCTTGCATGCACAAGGCCCTGGGTTCAATCCCCAGCACCATCAAAAAAAAAAAAAAAAAAATTGTTAGGCTGACTGATCCCAAAGGTCCTGTTCAACTCTAAAACTTTATTAGTATTATAATACAATATTCCCAGGGCCTTGAGTCACCTATATGATATTTATGGTGTCTAAAAAAGACATTTTTTTTTTTTTTTTTTTTTGGCCAGTGAAGAGTTTAAATACTAGTACAATCAGTCCCAGTGGTACACACTTATAATCCCTTGGGAGGCTAAGGCAGAAGGATCCCAAGTTCAAGGCCAGCCTGAGCAACTTAGCAATACTCTGTCTCAACATAAAAAATAAAAAGGCTGGGCTGGGGATGTGGCTCAAGTGGTAGCACGCTCGCTTGGCATGCGTGAGGCACTGGGTTCAATTCTCACCACCACATAAAAATAAAATAAAGACATTAAAAAAAAAAAAAGGCTGGGGATATGGCTCAGGGGTAGAGTGCCCCTGGGTTAAACCCATTAAAAAATAAAGTACCATTAAAAATCAAAGGTATATTGGGGCTGGGGATGTGGCTCAAGCGGTAGCACACTCGCCTGGCATGCATGCGGCCCGGGTTCAATCCTTAGCACCACATACAAACAAAGATGTTGTGCCCGCCGAAAACTAAATAATAAATATTTTAAAATTCTCTCTCTCTCTCTCTCTCTCTCTCTCTCTTAAAAAAACATATATATAAAATTACAGGTATAAAGCCATAAATCAGGTGTGGGGAAACTCAGAATCATTGGATGTTAGAGCTGAAGAAATCTTGGCTAATTCTAATTCCTAGAAGTGAGTCCCACTAGCTAGGCAATCTTCAGCCCTGAGCCTTCTGAATCTTTGCCTAGATATTTCCACTAGCTCCCTCTGTCAGCAGGTGTATATATAGCCACTTCATTCTGTCTTCTAGTGGATTACCAGCAGGTGTGTCAAGAGCATCCTGCACTGACTACAGGAGCATGGAGGGTTTCAATACATTAGTTGAAACTGGCCTCTCCTAGCTGACCTGTAACCTTCCTGTTTATTTCTTCCTTCATCCCTTTAGTCAGGATATTCCTAGGAGTAACTTGCCCCTCCTGGTAGCCATCTAGATGTCACCACAGATTTAAGAAATAAAATATTTCAGTGATTTCCAAGCCATTGTGGTACTAGAGATTGAACCCAGGACCTAGCACATGCTAGGCAAGTGCTCTATCACTGAGCTACATCCCTAACCCTCCACCATCACCACCTTTTTATTTTGACATAGAGTCTCACTGAGTTGCTCAGTATGGCCTCCAACTTGTGATCCTTCTGCTTCCGCTTCTCAGTAGCTGGGATTATGGACATGTGCACAGCATGCCTAGCTAAGAAATAAAACTTTAAAAAACATAATTGTAAGATAATTTTTTAATCTTTTTTTTATAGATAAGAAAACTTATGGTGAAATTCTTGAAGAATTCTATCCAGTGCGTTGAAGTCTTCAAAATATTTGCTCCCATTTACTAAGATGTTTCTAAATTTTATGGAACATATTTCCTCCACGATAGCCGAAGTTTATGTTAATCTGTATAACACCTATAATTAAAGTAGTTATCATGAACAAGTACTCTGACTCTTCTTTTTTCATTTTAAGAAGAAATAGGGCTGGAGTTGTGGCTCAGTGGTAGTGCGCTCACCTAGCAAGCACAAGGCCCTGGGTTCGATCCTCAGCCACATAAAAACAAACAGATAAAGGTATTGTGTCCAACTACAACTAAAAAATAAATATTTAAAAAGAAAAAAAATAGTTCACTTTCCATTGACCCAGTTTTTGGAAGATTTTTAAATGGAGTTTAAGGGCTGAGGATGTGGCTTAGTGGTAGAGTGCTTACATAACATTTGTGAGGTCCTGGGTTGAATCCCAATACCACAAAATAATAAATTTAGTTCCAAATCAGAACTAAACTCCATTTATTCTGATCAGATTTGGAAAACTTCAGCCCATGGACCAACTCTGGCCCACTGTCAATAAAGATTTATTGAAACACAGCCACTTTCATTTGTTTATATGGCTGCTTTCATACTACAACAGCAGGGTCAAGTAGTTATGACAGAGCTTATAGCATGCAAGGCCTAAAATAGTTAATATCTGGCCCTTTTCAGAAAAGAATTGCCAGCTTCTGTTCTAATGTAAAATAAGCCAGATTATAAAGGGTTTTGTGAATCATAGATCGTTTTAACTTGATTCCTTAAGTATGGGGAATTCAGTAAAAGGGTTTTAATTGGAATAATGGTCAGGTTTGTATTTCTGAGCTCCCTTTGCAACAATATAAAGGGTGGTTTGGAAGGAAGACACTTAAGGCAAGAACAGTTAAACATCTGATACTGCACAGGAGTGTGCTCTTAGGTGAATTGTCCTGGACAAAGAGCTCAGCTAGCACAGTCTACAGTGGAGCTTGGCACAGTCAGAAGTAAAAGCACCTTCCTGGAAGAAGGTGGTTCTTTATAGTCAAATCCAAATGTTTGCCAGGCACAGTGGAGCACACCTGTAATCCCAGCAACTTTGAGGCTGAGGCAGAAGGATCACAAATTCTAAGCCTCCACAATTTAGCGAAACCCTGTCTCAAAAAATAAAAAGGGGTCTGGGGTTATAGCTCAGTAGTAGAGCATTTGCCTCACATGTGTGAGGCACTGGTTTGATTCTCAGCACTGCATATAAATAAATAAGGTCCATTGATAACTAAAAAATATTTTTAAGAAATAAATAAAAGTTGTAAAGTGCCCCTGGGTTTTAAAGTCCCCAGTACCACCACCACCCCGGCCCCCCAAAAAATTCTAAAAAGCTTGTCCAAAAAGCTGAAATTTTATAATCAGTAGTTTGGGGACATTAGTAAAATTGTATACATGATTTCAAAGCAGAAGTTTTCTGGGAAAAATAAAGTTATTCTATTTACTTGAGTATCACTTGTAAAAAGTAAAACATTGGAGAAAGTGCTTTTGAAATAATAAAGAGATGTACAAATACAAGGTATTTTTTCTTTATTGCTACTGCAATAAATAGGTTTATAGTTCTTGCTCAGCCTCATCAGTGGTTGGCAGGCGGTTTATAGTTCTTGCTCAGCCTTATCAGTGGTTGGCAGGCATAACAGTGAGGTACTCATCCCTAGGGACTCCTGCTACCTCAGTTAAGGACTAAAGCAAATACATAGGGGAAGGTGGGAGAAAAATCAGTCTATTACAATCTGATAATTTCTCATATACCAGGTTCTTTTGATTCATCTTGTTTCATTTTTGTAACTTTGTGAGGTAAGTTGTCCCCATTTTATACATGAGGTTACTTAGGCTCCAGTGGGTGAATAATGCCTGAGGTCACAGGGTGGATGACTGCCAAGAGGAGGGATGTGAACTTTGGTCATAGGCTAACACCTCTGCTCTTCTGTGTCATACTAGACTAACTTTGTCTACTCCCTCATGAACCACTGGCCACCACCCTGAGCTGGTAAGAAGATTAAATGGAGTTGTGAATAGCAACACATCCTAAAGGTGAGCCAAGGACTAGAGGTCACAAATTGATGCTCAGAGGGAGGTAGGGAAGCATCCCAGAGACACAAGTCGCCTTCACTTCAGCTGCAGGTCCAGGTGTTTCTGGAATCAGGGCTGACACACTGCTGCAAGTCCTCATCACAGTCTGCATTCTCTTGTGTAAAGTGATCTGTGGAGTGCAGGAAATTTAAAGAACCAAATGAGTCTGAGTTCAACAAGGCACTGTGATATACCTATTAAAATAGGAAGAGCAAGGGGAAAAAGTTTTGTCACTGCTGCTGGAAAACTGGCAACACTTCAGCTGTGAAGAAGAACYAGATGGTCAGCTGGGATCACTCGTCTGGTTTTTCCTCTACATTTAGAGGAAACTGAGATGCAGAAAGGTCAAATATGTTCTCTAGGATATTACAAAAGAAAATGGCAGAGCCAAGAAAAGAGCCCAGATTTTTCAGTATCTGCCAAATCATACTTTGTCCATGAATGAAAATGAGGTTAAGGTATGTTGAAATACTGTAGTATAGAATAGCTACTGTGGCCTTTATGACTATTTGGTTGGTCAAGAAGTTGGATTTTACTGGGTGTGGTGGCTCACACCTTTAATCCCTATGGCTCAAGAAAGTGAGGCAGGAGGCTCACGAGTTCAAAGCCAGCCTCAGCAAAAGCAAGGTGCTAAGCAACTCAGTGAAACCCATCTCTAAATAAAATACAAAACAGTGCTGGGTATGTGGCTCAGAGGCCAAGTTCAATCCCCAGTACCAAAAAAAAAAAAAAAAAAAGAAGAAGTTGGATTTCTACCAGGTCTTCCATCTCCAATTCTCTTCTGAAATCTACGCCCCTAAGGAGCACAGAAAATCCATCAATGTAGAGAAAAGAATGAGACTACAGGGCTGGGATTGTAGCTCAGTAGTAGAGCACTTGCCTAGCACATTTGAGGCACTGGGTTCAATCCTCAGCACCGCATAAAATAAATAAAATAAAAGTATTGTGTTCATCTACAACTAAAACTATTTTTCAAAGTAATGATAATTTATTAGATAGTTAATATACAAGTGATTTAAGTAGTACTCAAATTTTTTATTACTATCATGATGCAGTGAAGAAACTGAAACACAAAGAAGTGAAGTGGCTTTCCCAAGGTCTCAGCTCAGTGGTAGAAGCAGGACATGAACCCAGAGCTCAGCTCTTCTGAGGCCCCCTGGCTGTTGACCCAGTTCAATTTAATTCAAGAAGAAACTCTGGAAGGCAGCCAAGAAAATCTCAAGGAGAGAGAAAAGCAGCATTGAAGTTGACCATTTGGATTTGAGGTGCAGAAACGAAAACATCTGGGAAAGTACCTGGAAAGAATTCTCTACAGACTTTGTGGGTAGGGAGGGCATGTCTATTCTCCATCATTACAGAGTGGGAGAGAGTAGGTATAATGGAAAGAGCACTCAGCTCAAAGCTGAGGTCAGTCTTGCTTTTATCTTATTTTTTTTTTATATTGAAATAGGGTCTCACAAGTTGCCAAGGCTGGCTTCAAACTTGGGATCCTCCTGCCTCAGCCTTCCGAACACTGGGATTGCAGGCATGTGCCACTGTGCCTAGCTTTAATCACATACTTAAAGACGTTGACAAGGAGAACATTCATACAGGTATAAGCATTCACATACTTACCAATAAATGCACACAGGCACAGACACATTTGTGCCCATGAGTTATGCACTCACAGGCCACTTTTTTCTTGTCTCCATAATAGTTCACTGCCATTACTCATCAATACTRAGTCAGAAGACTAGGAAGGTGACCCCAGTCTTGAGCCTTCCCCAGGTGATTCCAATGGCCACCTGATGTGTGGTGACTCTGTCTGAGAGCCAACCTGCCCCTCTCTTGTTAGGTTGCACCACCACTCCCTCTTCCCCGGGAATATCCCTCCATGGACCCGGACCCTTTAGCATAGCCACCATTACCTTCCCTAGAGTCGGAGGCCTACAGGACCTGTCCCGTCATTTCCTGGTATTTTCTTGTCACTTCCTGAGCTTTCACAGTCAGGTGAGTAAGGATTCGATGGAGGCTGGAGAAGTGCACATGGAACTGCGTTTCCAGGTCCAGCTCCCCGGAGACGTCTTCCTTGGCCTCCTCTGTCTCGGCAGCTTCCTTTCCGGCCTCATCCGCTTTGCGGCCGGCCACCTTGGCCTGCCACTCCTCCCTCGGCAGGAGCCCATGTTCCACATCCATCCGGATGGTCTTGAGCATGGTGAAGTAGGTGTAGAGATCAGGGGCCCCCATCTGGGCCTGGCCGCCATGTCCACCCAGTTGCACATCCCGCAGAAGGCTGGGGATCATCACCACCTGCTCCATGTTGCACACCACAGCCAAGTACCGGTCCACGACGGCCAACAGGCAGTTTTTAGGGTAGCGCTTGGTTAGTACCGGCATGGTTGCCTGCTTTTACACAATGAGTTGGGAAGACTGCCCCAGCACTATTTCTAGGCTTTGGTTCTGACCGCAGATTGACAGGAAGCCAAGGCCCAGTCATTGGGTTAACACAACCCTGTTTTAAGCCAATCCCAGGGTTTGGGTCCCAAGGTCTGTATCAGGTGATCCACTGCCCAGGGACAGACCAGCCAGCATTTTGCTTGTCATTTCAGTTCTACAAGACTGCCTCAGTAAGAGCCCAGCTCTTCCACTGGCAGCTTGCAGAACTAGTTAAAGCAAAGCTTTTCCCTTTGGCAACAGATGCACTTGACTGCAGGAAAGTCAATAATCCTTTCAGATCACCTGAGGTCAAACTGAGTCTTTGCTACCCTCTGAAAGCACAAAGCTTACTTCTTCAACCCGGAGTGACTGTGAAATGAACAAGGGAAGAGCATCATGAAATGAAATAGTTTGGTGTGGGGCAAAGAGCACTGAAGTTGGGGCCAGAAGTCCAGAAAGAAGGGGTCTGGATTTTGGCCAGCTCATGTCCTCCTTATAGAGGGTGCTTTTCCACCATGAACTTGACTAGGGAAAAAACTCTTTTTTTTTTTCAGAAACACATTTTATGGTCAACTCTTTATCAAAAGATCAACAATAAAACATCTGAAACAGCAAATATCAATAAAGGTAAATGAATATCACCTTGCTCACTTTTTATATTTTCAGGTTACATTTTCTCTTTACAGATACATAGCCAGGTCTGAGCAAATAGTTTATAAATTTTTTCAACACTTAGAAATAAATGTCTCTATTCATCTCTATTCTTGTTTCCATTCCTGTCAGATGGGAAAAAACTCTTAATAAGATGCATTAGCCTGGTGTTACCTCAGTCAGTCAGCAGGGTAAAGAATTTGCATAAACTTGTTTCCTAAACTGTGAGCAGAAAACAGCAATTTTTCTAAGTTAATTAATTTTAAAAATTAATTTTAAGGGCTAGGGATGTAGGTCAGTAGTATAGTATTTGCCTAACATGTGAGGGCCTAGGTTTGTTCATCAGTCATACCCCCTTACCCCCTCCCCCCAAAAAGAGTTTGACTACCTAAAGCTGGGCATGGTGGCTCATGCTGATAATCCCAGCAATTTGGGAGGCTGAAGTAGGAGGATAGAAAGTCAAGGCCAGCCTGGGCAACTTGGTGAGATCTGGGCTGGGGCTGTAGCTCATTGGTAGAGTGCCCACCTCGCACGTGTGAGGCACTGGGTTTGATCCTCAGCACCACATAAAAATAAATAAAGATATTGTGTCCAACTACACCTAAAAAAAAATATTAAAAAAAAAAAAGATCTAGGTAGAGCATCCCTGAGTTAAATCCCCAGTACCATAAAAAAAAAAAGATCACTTAAGTAAGCCTTTGATGAATTCACTTCTAGTCTTCTAACATTGTTTTTTCCTTGACTGAGAAAAAATTTTTTCAAATATTTTCTCCTCAAGAAAACAGGACTTCTGGGGATGGAGTTGTGGCTCAGTGGTAGAGTGCTTGCCTAGCATGCATGAGGCCCTGGGTTCTATTCTCAGCACCCACCACATACACATAAATAAAATAAAGGTCCATCAACAACTAAAAAAAATATTAAAAAAGAAAATAGGACTTCTGGGCTGGGCAAGGTGGAACATGCCTACAATCCCAGTTATTTGGGAAGATAAGGCAGGAGGATCACAAATTCAAGGCCCATCATGGCAACTCAGTGAGATCCTGTCTCAAAATAAAAAAGGCTGGGGATGTAACTCGGTGGTAGAGAACCCCTGGGTTCAGTCCTTGGTATTAAGAGAAGGGAAAAAAAAAAAGAAAGGAAAAATAGAAATGGGGCTTCTCTTGTATACAAATCTCTAGGGCTGCTAAGCAGTGGGTATAGACATTTCATAAGGCTGGACAGTGTCACTGGGTTCTGGTGCTACCCACAGGCCTCTTGGGATACAGCCAGACTCCCTGGACTCCAGCCTCTACACAGTCAACTGAAAGGTTTGGAAATCTCTGAAGGGGAGGCCTTTGCTGCCCTGGTTTTGTAACTCCTTCTGACTTTAGGTCCAGTCCCTAAGGGCATTACTCCCTGTGTTAGTTCTTACATTTTTTCACCCAGCCCCAGGGTTACAAACTAAGAACTGGCAAACATGGTGTTCTGCTCGTGGTCAGGGCATGCTGATGTTGGCATGAGGGCTTGCCAGGAGTGCCGTAGCAGCTGCCTCCTGATTCTTTTGCCCAATGACCTGGGTTACCCCTGGGCCTCCCTTGCCCCATGTATAAAACTGAGAGGGCTGAACTTTGTTAAGGCCTCTCCACTTCAGATTTTTAGACTCCTCCCAAGCACATGGCTAGTATATCTCACTGAGTTATTCTGCCTATGTGTGAATTTTAATCTCATCTGAGGCCATTCTATTTCCAGACATATTCCTGAGCTTGAACTAGAGAAATGAATGAGTAAATCAAGTGGAAAAGGGAGAGAGTGACTTAGCAATTAGGCAACTAAATGGCCTCTGTATGAATAAGTGTAGAACACAAGGAGGCCTGGGAAGGAATGAGGGAGGGTCTGGCTGACCAGGGTCCCCTGGCCAGCAGGCTACAGACTGAGACTGCCTCTAGGTCTCCCTGGAAGACAGAAGGCCTTAGTTAAAATGTTGCCAGTCATGTGTCAGAGTAGAAGACAGACATGGAGTGCTAAAGGGACAGGCTGGACTCAGGGAGGTTCTAGGTGTGGGAAGAGGAAGAAAACAGAAAATGTGTTTCAGGGGTTATAGTATTTTTCCTCCTTTCAAAGATGCCTCATCCGGTCCAGCAGGGCCATCACAGGTGGAAAATCCCAGCAAAGGTGGGGGGAAGGAAGCAGCAAAAGCTGGACTAGACCTCAAACTTCATTGGATTTCCCAAGTCTTTCCTCCCACCACTCCCGAAGGAAACTGAGGCTGAGTAAGGTGCCTCCTGGCATGGCCTCTGCAGAGCTGCCTACGGCCTCGCCCTGAGTGCCCCAAGCTGGGCATACTAAACTGGCCCAGATAGACTGGAGTCAAAGTCCTCAAAGTCCAAGCCAGGAATAATGTATGAATGTGATGCAAGGATAAGATGATCAGGTGGTATCTGGGGTTGCCAGACCCCAAGTAACCCAGGCTGGCCTTGAGGCCAGGTGGCTACAGAATGGACACAGACCAAGGTTGGGACAAGCTTTTCAGTTTGAAAATGTTGTATACAAGCACATCACCTGATGTCTATGGGCTCCAGGATTTTTTTTTTTTTTTAATGTGCTTRTGTGATGCTAAGGTTGGAGGGAACCAGGGGTCATACATGTTAGACAAGTGCTCTCCAAATCTCCAGTTCCCCAGGCTATTTGGGGGAGGGGATACTGAGAAGGAACCCAGTACCACTGAGTGATATCCCAATCCCTTTTTATTTATTCACTTATTTTTTGAGACAGAGTCTTGTTAATTTACCCAGGCTGGCCTTGAACATGCAATCCTCCTGCTTCAGCTGCCCAAGTTGCTAGGTTTACAGGTTTGTGCCACCACACCTGGCTCCTCAGGCTATTTTTCTTCACATTGTCACTCCAGTCCTGGCCAGGGAATATATGGAGTCAAGAAGTGAGAGGCTTTGTAGTCATAATATGCCCCCCCCCCACTCAGCTAATACAGTATGTTCCGACCTCCTGCTTTTCACACAGGGAAGCCCATGTATTGAGAGCCTACTATGTGCAGCACTCTGGGCCTGGGATTTAACAGGACATGAGGGCAGATGAGGTCCAGGCACTTGGGGCAGTTTATTTATTTATTTATTTACTTACTTACTTGGATTTTTAATATATATATAATTTAGTTTTAATGGACTTTTTTTTTWAATTTATATATGGTGCTGAGAATTGAACCCAGTACCTCACACATGCTAGTGCTCTACCACTGTGCTAAGACCCCCCATCCCCAGTTTTTATCTATTTGGGAGAGAACCATCATGAGCATATGCACAGATAAATGTGATTAGCATTACATTGTGACATACCCTTTGGAGAAAACAAAACAAGGTAACAAGACTTGCTAGTCAAAGTGTGATCTACAGACCAGCAGCATCTAATCATCCCAGGGCTCACCAGAAATACATATTCTTAAGCTCAGCCCAGGGCCTACCACATAGTAGCCTGGGAATGCCTAACTCCAAACATGGTTCTTTATTTTTTAAAAAAATATTTATTTTTTAGTTGTAGTTGGACACAATACCTTTATTTCACTTTTTTATTTTTATGTGGTGCTGAGGATTGAACTCATGGTCTCGCACGTGCGTGTGAGGCAAGCGCTCTACTGCTGAGCCACAACCCCAGCACCCCCAAACATGGTTCTTTTTTTCTTTTTTTTAAATATTTTTTAGTATTGACGGACCTTTATTTTATTCATTTATTTATGCGGTGCTGACAATAGAACCCAGTGCTTCGCACAGGTGAGGCAAGCACTCTACCACTGAGCCACAACCCCAGCGCCCCTAAACATGGTTCTTAAATGGCCAGGAAAGAAGAAACAACTGTACTGAGACCTTAACATTCTTGGCTTCAAGAAGATTTGTCCTGCAGGCAGAAGGAATGGCAAGTGCTATCCATCACAAAGGATTCCTAAAGGGACAACTGACTCATTGCATGACCTTAAGTAAGACATTCAGCCTCAATCTCCTACCTGGAAAGCAGAGGAGTTGAACTACATAAAGAATCTTGCTAGGTGCATTGCACACTCCTTTTTTGGGGGGTAGGGGAGATACCAGGTGTGCAGATCGGTGACAGTGAATGGGAGAGCAGTATCTGAAATGAGTTCCCTGATGACTTCATGGCTGTGGCATGCCTGGTACCTGGGAAATTTTCTGTAAAAAGGTGCAGGATGACTAGTTGCTATGGCAATGTCCTCCATGAGAAGGCTCTGTGCTAGGGTCTTATCAGCCTCTACCTTGATCTCAGGCACACAGCTCCTGGGAATAAAGAAACTCTCTTGGCAGACAACCACAATGTTTCACCAGCTCTGCTGCTCCTCAGTCTGCACATAACACTGTGCTAAGACCCCATTTAAACAATGGACTTTCTTGAAAGCTACACAAAGCTCCTAACATAGCACATTGTAACTGTAGAAGGCAACTGGGGAATAAGCTGCTTAATGTTGCTAACTTTGTAACTTTCAGGAATACAAAGGATAATGCT